AATGTCCAGTTTTCAAAAGACTCCTGCGTCACATTAACGAGTGAATACTTACAGTGCTCTTTCGACCGAATAAACTTTAAAATATGTCTGTAAACCCTGAGGACTGGGACGTTGACTTTGCCTTTCCAAGTTTTAACCTAGCTTTGTTTTAATGAGAACGAAGCTGTTGTAGAAACTGAATCGTAACCTTACCGAGGAAGAGAATTCTAGTCAGTGTTTGAAAATTTTAACGCAGATCGCAATTGACTACGAGAATGAACTGGCAGAAAGAGAGGTTTTCCCAAAAACGATTAACGAACAAACTTACCTTGAAAAGCTTAATTCTTTGCCTTTTGCAGTGTTTTTTTCACAAGGACAAAAAGAGGAAAGATGGAAACGACTTCTAGACAGACACAGTGTCCAGTTTCCAAAATACTTCAGCGTTACATTAAAGGGCTAAAACTTACAGTGCTCTTAGTTTTGGCCGAATAAACTTTTAATTTTCAACATGGCGAATTTGTTTTTACTTTTTCGGAAAGCCTTTGTTATGTGTTATTGTTTTCGTGCGCCAATAAAAACTTTCCTTTTTGACGCCTGTCAAATGACTGTCAAATCGTGCGTCCTGCACTTGTTTCCGGTTCGTACTGTAAATTACGGATCCTCGTTTTTTTCCATCAATTTATGGCCCGCGCGCTTCGCGCTTGGGCGATAAATTGATGGGAAAAAACTCGGTCCGTAATTTACAGTACGGACCGAAAACTCGGCTAATAAGAGGTATTGGTTCATGCTTGTAGCTGTGCGTATATCGAGTTATGGACGCACTTGAGAAGTTAATCAAGCACAAAAGCAACTCTTACGCTTTTTTCATGCTCTCCAAACTTCCCGCATGCATCCATAACTCGATATACGCGCGTTAAGCAGAACCAATTCTTAACAATTAAATGCTTGCAATAAAACCAGGCACCTTTCGTAAGACACAAAGAATGCTTTGTTGCCTTGAAGAACGATTACAGAAAGAGTAAAATACGCAGCCATTTCAAAGGCATCGAAATCAATCATCTTGAACGCTTAAAGTTTCGCTCCACAATCTTCACATCCAATGAAGTCCTCTTTTGCGTGTTTTATGTTAATAGAGATCTGGTCATTGCATAAAGAACAAATTGTAGTTATTATGCCAAAAGTATTTTGGGCATTTCATGATCAATGTTTTTGTACGCATTTGAATTCTCAAATGTTTGCAGGGATTTTAGCTTGAGTAACAACAGTGTTGTCGAAATTGCTTGTTGTTGCTCCGTTGCTGTCAGTGCCCTTCTCTAGCTCTTGGGATTCGTCAGGTTCAACGCCATTCTGCATGGAAATGTATTCCTTAAGTATATTTTATAATACGTGCTGTGGAGTGGCTGTATTTAAAAGAATCTGACGGAGATGAGCAGGACAATCAGCTAACAGCTGAAGGAAACCACGATTGTTGACATTAGTGTAAAATAAACCGTTAGTAGTATTTAGTCTTTTCTAGAATGTTCTGGAGGGAAAAATACTAATGTGGTGGTAGTGGTGGTGGAGGAGGAGGAAAGCACTAGAAATATGGTGGTGGTGGTGGGAAAAACACTAAAAATGGTGAGAATGAGGAGACGGAGGGAGGGGTAAGTAAATATTGTGCTGGGTGCAAAAGAGAGCTAGTTTACCCGTAATTGTGCATAAAATTGCCCTTGTCAATAGATTCCTTTTACATTACTGAGTATCTTACTTTTTTTGTAATCGTTTTCAAGGTTGAAAAAGTTGATTTCTTGTTTCTTGAAGGAAAATGTATGTTTTAATTGCGAGCAATTGTGAGTCACTTGTTTCAATTCACCGTTTTTGGATGGTCTATTGTTTTGTCTTTAAAATAGCGAAGGGTCTCCCGTGGGCCTTACCGTAAGGCCAAGCCGTTTGCAAATGTAGGTTCCTTTCCTTTGCACGCATAATTAACGGACTTGAACAGCGCGTTCAAGAGTGTTTCAAGAACTTAAATGATAAAAACAAAGATACTAGAGTTCTATAATACTGTACCGCAGTCGCTGTCTTCAGAAATTGCAGATACTTTCATTTTTTTTACTTTATCGTATACTTTTAATAGCGATGACAGCGATTATTGGAGCGTAAGCAAAAGGTTTGGTATGTATCTCATTCTGATCACCAAAAGCTGAAAAGTTAAGTGGTATCATATTTTGGTCACTTAATTGAGGTACAAGAGAAAAGCGTTTTGCAATAGTCAATCAAAATGGAAATAAAGCATTGTCAGTTCCATTCTGTTTTTTTGTTTTGTTTATAACAGATTTTTAGCGTTAAATAATAGACACTTGAAATTAAGTGATTCCTGGCATTGTTGGGTGATTACGTTTTTGGAGACGTTCAAAGCACAGGTAGCCCAATCTCGAAATATGAGCATTGGCGAGCATCGGCATTGTTGCTTAACATTCAAAATATACGTCGGATTTGTATGGGAAAAAAAACCTATCGTTTCTCTAACCTACGAAAATGAAAGGATTTCAATAATAAGATGTGTGTTACGTCTCTCCTGTGTGGTCCACGGGCAGATTTATGGCAGTTTCATGGGTTTTTATGTGAACGGTTTTCTAGGGAAAACGGTATCTTCGAGATAACATAAGGAATAATTTCGCGCATTCAGTTCATAACACTTTCACTTTTGGTGAGAAATTTTTAGCATTTTGACAAATATTTTCCTACTGGCATACTACTCTTGCTTTTCGCTCAGGTTCGACCAAGTAAAGAGTGGACTAACCCTCTTAGAAAACCGTTTAGATAAAAACCCATAAATCGGCCCGTGGACCACACAGGAGAGACGTAATACACACATTTTAAGTAAGGTAAGCTGTTTTTTATTGAAATCATTTCATTTTCGTAGGTTAGAGAAACGATAGGTTTTTTTTCCCATACAAATCCTTATATTTTGAATGTTACGCAACAATGCCGATGCTCGCCGATGCTCATATTTCGAGCTTGGGCTACCTGTGTTCAAAGTAATATATACTTAGCAGGCAAGCCTAGACTGATCTTTTGTTTTAACTGTAGAATACTAACGTTCTGGTGAAATCTTCAACTGTCTTCATCAAGTCAGTAATAAGAAAAAACAAACTGGAAGACAAAAAAATCGCTTTTAGAATTGGATTTGATTTGCTTTAAACTTTGAGTTCTAGAAATAGTTTATTGATGATGAAGATTTATTTTTCAGATTGACGTTGAAGATGATTTGTACAACTCCATGGTGACATCCGTTTCATGTTGCCTTATCCTTACTAAAGCCAAGGTAAGTTTCGTTCGTCTTACGGGAATACGTTATATTATCAATTAATTGGTGAAATTAGTCTAAAATTGCTGTTTACCACACCTTATCTCCATAAAAAAAGTGTAGGGACGTTGCTGATAACTCAATTCTCAATTCCCTTTTGGAGGTCTGTACAGACTTTTCCATTGATTAAATATAGCTTTTTTGAGTTATCAGCAACACCAACACCCTTTTATTAAAAATAATATGGAGTCATCAATAGCGTATAGGTCAAGAGGTTTCTCCATGCGTGTCACTCTTGTAGGCCGACCATCCCTTAGTGATGAGTATTACCCCAGATGTCGTTTTAACACATTCGTACTGTTTGTTCATTTTCTCATCGCAAACAACCTTTGGTTCCCTTGTTATCAGTGACCAGTCAATCACTTGTCTTTCGACTACTCTAATTTACAGAGATGACTCATTTAAGTGCGCTAATGATGATTACATTGAATCTCACTATTACTCAGTTAAAAAGTCTGGCAAAATATTTGATGACGCTTGTAAACAAAAAGGGTTTTCGATATTCCACTGAAATATTCGTAGTTTGGAAAAAAACAAATCCTTGCTGCATGATATTTTAAGCACAGTTAAGACAACGCCAGATGTCATTGCAATATCAGAGAGTAAAATTAATGAAAATACGAGTGCAAATTTGAATATTCCTGGTTATGCTTTTGTGAACATCAACTCAAAAACGCAGGCAGGAGGTGTTGGTTTGTATTTATCTAGTGACTTGGAATTTTCAAGAAGTTGTGACTTAGATATCTCGGACGATGGAATAGAGTCATGCTGGATAGAGCTGGCAGGTATTGCACAAAAAAATATTGTAATACGCTGTGTCTATAGACATCTTAAAGGTAACCGAGACCTATTTCATATTATTTTGAAAAAACAATTAGAACAACTTAATACCAAGGGACACGAGGTGTTGGTCCTTGGGGACCTCGACGAGAATCTGTTGAAATATAATGAAGATAAACAGACGTCAGAGTACCTAGACATGCTTCTTAGCTTAGGTTTTATGCCAATTATTACCAAACCAACCAGAATAACGGACCATACGGCCACTCTTATCGATCATATATACACGAATACGCCCGAAAAGCTAATTAAATCTGGACTCTGCCTTGCTGATATTTCTGATCATCTACCACTATTCTGTACAATGGCCAACACACTACCTACAAATAATGAACCAAGGTTTCTTCGAGACTTTAGAGATTTTAATAAAAACGCCTTTCACCAAGATTTACTTGCAGTTGACTTCAAGAGCTTGATATCAAGTGATGTTGATGAAAGTGTAACTACTACTGTGGACAATCTGAGCGCTATCACAGACCGTCATGCTCTTTTGCGCAAAGCATCATAACGGCAACGAAAGCGTTTAGAAAGGCCTTGGATTTCGAAAGCAATCATGCACTCAATCAGACAAAGACACAAATTAGTAAAGACTAATTTATACAGTACGGACCCAGGCAAAGTAAAAGAGTATAAAGCATATAGTAATAAGTTGAATAGGATTATCCACGCAACTAAAAAGAATTATTTTTCTAAACAATTTGAACTGAACAAAGAAAACATAAAATGCACATGGAAATTAATTAGCAAAGTAATAAGAACAAAAAAAGAAAATACTCAACATACAATCAAACTAATCAAGAAACTGTTGCGTGACAATAAAATTTATATAGACAAGCAGAGTATTTGTGATCAATTAAACAGCCATTTTATAAATGTTGGAAATGGCCTAGCAGATAAACTACCAAAACATGACATATACCCTTTAGTGTATTTAGATAGAACTATGACACCAAATGGTTTTATGTTCCGTGGCATTTGCCCGACTGAAGTATATGAAAAAATAATGATTTTGAAAGTAGACAAGTCGGCATTAGATATTCCAAGAAGATGCATAAAATACGCAGCAAACCATATATATGAGGCATTAAGTATGGTTTTCAATCAATCTCTATTGCAAGTCAAAGCAAACAATGACGTGCGGTATTCCACAAGGGAGTTCCCTAGGCCCAGTATTATTTTTAATCTACATAAACGATTTACCAAACTGTTCAAATGCTCTAACATTTAGAATATTTGCAGACGATACAAACGTTTTTGCCTCAGCCCGCAACCTGAAAGATCTTGAGGAAATAGTTAACTCTGAACTTAAAAAAGTGATAATATGGTGTGATGTAAATAGATTGTCAATTAATTTCAATAAAACAAACTTCATGATCATTAAATCGTCAAACAAAAAAGGTGACTAAGTAAATATCAAGATTGAAAGTGCAGATGGTACAATAAATGTGCTGCAAAGGAAGCAAAAAATAAAATATCTAGGTGTCTTGCTTGATGAAACGATGTCTTTCAATCACCATATTTCATACATCTGTACAAGAATTGCGCGAAACAATGGTATTATATCTAAGCTGAGACATTATCTAACTCTTCTACAAATGAAACAAATCTACTACAGCTTAATATACCCATATATCTCTTATGCAATATCAGCATAGAGGAGTGCATACAAAACACATATTGATAAGATACAAGCTAAGCAAAATCATTCTGCTAGGCTTATTTTCTTTGCCACCACTTATGGTGAACACACAGAAAGTGCACTTCCCCTACTAAATTTATTAGACGTTCTTACGGTACATAATGTTTATCGAATTCAGATTCTAAAATTCACGTACCTCTGGCATAAAGGCCTCCTGCCAAAGCTGTTCTCAAACTATTTTCAATATGCCAGTAATGTCCACAAATACAATACCAGATATGCATCGAAACAGAATTTTCACTAAAAAAAGTGCGAACTAATACGGGGAAACAAACAATCGGATATGCTGCATGTACCGTCTGGGACAAAATTCCCTTAACTCTTAAAGAACTAAACACATACCAATTCCAAAAACAATTGAAACCTTCTTTGCTGTCATAACAACATAGTTAACATAACTTGAGCATATACTCTTTCTTTCTTAATACATTGTATTTGAAAACTGCTTCTTTGGTAATAAATTCTATCTCAATTCTCTAAAACTTTAAATTCTGGAGAACTGGCTAGAAAATCTTAGGATTATCTCAGCTCTAGGCCTTATTAAGTACAAATAAATATATATATATATATATATATATATATATATTTTTTTGCTCTTTCATATATCTAATTAATTAAGTACAAGGCGAATAAAGGTATTGTTGTTGTTGTACAAAGAGCATAGGTTTTTACTTCGATGACACTCTATCCATGGCACTTTAAGTTAATGCTGTTTTCAAGGCTGTGTTCTTGCATTTATTTTTTATTTATTTTATTTTTTTTATTATTTTTTTGTTCAAGACATTTATTACTCTAATTTACAAAGAACTAATTAAAAAGAAACTAATTACAATATTCTAAACAACCGCAATAACAGATACTTACAATTATCTACATTTCACAATTATATGCATTACAGCCAAAAAACAGCCGCGCAATTGCTGAATGAGGCTTATTTTACAAGGAGTTAATTAATACTTACTTATGTAGATAAAAGAGAAATTAACACTTATTTACCGTACACTCTGAAATAAAACACACACACAAAAAAACCAGTACAGAAAAAAAGTGTCTAATAAAAGATTACAAGTTTAATTACATGCACACAAACTTAATTAAAGGGGGGAAATGTCTTTTGGCCATTTTTCATAAAAGGTTTCTAATTTATTATTCTTAGAGGAAATATATTTTTCAACTTGGTATTTAATTCTTACTTTAAATTTGAAACCTTCCATGTTTGGAATTACCTGTTTCTTTCTGCAATCCCATAAATGCAGTTTACCAATTAATATCAGATAATTTAACAAGGGGCATTTCGTTATTACAATTATAACCTCTCGTAAATACAACGCGTGAAATTCCTTTGTTATTGTTATATAATACTGTTCAACATTTTTCCACAACATATTTGAGTGCTGACAGTGAAAGAGAAAGTGACATAATGTTTCCTGTTCAGTCTTGCAAAAAGTACTTTTGTCATGCTGGAGATATCCAATATTTTAAAACGTTTTGCATTAGTGTAAAGTATTGAATTTAAAACTTTATATTGTAAGCAATCACGTTTTGAATTCTTTGCATTACAGGGTAATTGTGCTTTATTTGATATTATTAAAGAGTAGTAGTCTTTCGTTTTCTTTTCCACCATGTCAAAAATCTCATTCCCCTTTGTAAAATAAGTATTTCTGTAAATGTAGTTTATTCAGTCTCTTGTTTTCAGAATAGAAGGAATTGCGTGCCTAAGACCAGTCCATGTAAGAAAATTAGCTTTCTCAACTATGTTATGAATTGCATTAAAGGATTCTATATTGTCGAGATTGAACAAGAGATCTTTAATGATAGATATCCCCGAGCCATAATAAGATTTACAAAAGACTGGTTCTCCATCTATTCTTATATCTTTATTATTCCAAATTATACAGAGCCGTTCTTTGTTAGCTAAAAAGAGATTTCGAAACTCTAACCAACATTCTAAGAGTTCTCTGTAGAAAACTGACCGAGTTAATTGAAAGATCGTTCATTGCGTAATTGCATATAAAAAGTAAAAGACCACCAACATTACATAGGAGATGTAACAAGTAGAATTTCCACGTACTTTCGTTATCGCTGAAAATACTTTTTAGCCAAGCTAGTCGTACAGCTTTGTCCAAGCTTTCAATATCTGTCATTTTTATGCCACCGTCTTCAGGACTGTTTATTGAAGAGAGCCTCGTTACGTTATCCTCTCCATTCCATAAAAAGGAGAAAATCATACTATTCACTTGTTTGATGATTTTACTTGGAGGTGAAAAAACCGAAGATATAAAAACTAGTTTTGGAATAAGTAATGATTTGATTGTAGTTACTTTACCATAAATGGATAGTCCTCTAGATGACCATTTATTTGTCAACTTCTTTATGCTGTCAACCTTTTCTTGGAAGTTTTTGTCGTAAAGCAATGATTGGTCATATGTAAAAAAGGTTCCTGAAGCTTTGATGGGTTCACTGGACCATTTAATACCAAACGGTTTTTCATCTTTTCTTTTAGGCGAACCAATCCACATTCCTTCTGTTTTAGAGCTATTTATCTCCAACCCAATGAACTTCTTAAATACTTCTAGATCCTCAAATAACGTTTTTGCAGAATTTTCATCAGACAGGATTGCTGTGGTATCGTCTGCGCATTGCAATAACTTGGCTTCGTGATTTCCTATTTTAATTCCTTTGATATCAACATTTTGACGAATGGAGATTGCCAAGCTTTTAACAGCTAAGATAAAGAGGTAAGGGAACAAGGGATCACCCTGCCTCACACCACGTTCTAAAGTAAAATAGTCTGATGCCATTCCATTATTTATTACACAGCATTGAATATTTGTATGAAACATTTTGACCCAATTTATAAAATTGGGGCCAAAATTAAAAGCCTCCAGGCAACTGAAAAGATAATACCATTCTAAAGAGTCGAAAGCCTTTTTAAAGTCAATGAAAATCAAGATACCTGGAATATTCTTAAAGTCTGTAAATCCCATTATATCGAAAATTGATCGGATAGTCTCACCAATAATATAGCGATCTTCAACGTAACCTGTTCGATTATGATGTATGATATTCGGTAGAACTTTCTTTAATCTAATAAAGCAATCACTTTTGAGATGATTCTTGCATCTACGTTAATAAGAGAGATTGGCCTCCAATTTTCAATGAGAATTCGATCTTTATGTTGCTTTTCTATAACAGTTATGAGAGCTAGACATTTCACCGTGGTTGAAACACTCTCTTACACACTGATCCATAAATGGAACACTAATTAATTCCCAACAACTTTTGTAAAATTCTGTTGGTTTTCCGTCATTACCAGGAGATTTGTTACTCTCAAAACTGTTAAGGATAGCTGTAATTTTTTCAAGAAACATTTCTCCCTCATAGGATTGTTTTTGTTCTTCTGATAATCTTGGTATATTAAAATTATTCAAAAATTCGTTTCCATTTTCCCTATTCTCATCTGTAAGGTTTGATTTGTACAAGCTATATTAAAAGCGTTTTTGTTCGTTCAGTATCCCAAAAGGATCAGATGTAATGGAACCACTTATTAGCAGTTTTCTTATATGTTTTTTGACATGATTACGCTTTTCTAAATTTAGAAAATATTTTGTACTTCTCTCACCATGCTCGCGCCATCGTGCCCTTGCGCGAATAATTACACCCCTTGTTTTTTTCCTCTTAGTAACTTTCTAGAATTTCTTTTGCTTCATTTAGAGTGTTTAGGTTAGAGACGGAAGGGTCCTGTTCGAATTTCTTAGTTGCTTCCTCGTATACTTGTTGTTAAGTCTTTTTCCATTGCAGATCGTTCTTTGGCTTTCTTTTTCGAGAACAAAGTAGCGTGGTTCTGAATGTTATACTTAAGCCAATCCCAGATGCACCTTTTATCTGACAAATTATCACTTCCTGTTGTTTTCCAAAGTGGAATATTTTGTTTTCATTCTTCCATATAATTTGGATCTTCGAGAAAAGAGACGTTCATTTTCCAGAAGCCGGGTCCCCTTGAGTTTTGATTGGAGTCGGTTAGATTCAACTCAATTGCTGCATGATCAGTTTTTGTAGCTGGAATGATATCGGTTGTATTTACAAAATCCTGCAAGTTGTTTGATATCAGCCAATAATCTAAACGACAAAAAATTGGTGGAGATTTTGGCTCCAAGTGTAACTTCTAGATTGTGGATTTTTAATTCTCCAGACGTCGACAAGGTCCAATTCATTTTGTAAACATTCAATATTATCTATAACCATTTTCGTAGGTACCATAATGCCACCTTTCTTATCCAGCTTAGGGTCAAGAGGACAGTTAAAAATCCCCTTTAATGATTATATTTTCTTCACAATCTAAGTCTTCTGTCTGTAGCACTCTATGTAGGTTTTTATAAAATTTGCCTCTGCCTTTGTTTTTGTTTGGCGCATAAATATTAACTAAAATGTACACTTTATCCTGAATGTTTGCCTTCAAAATAATAAATCTTCCTTGGGGATCAACAATGGATTTTTGGATTACTCAGTTAACGATATTCCTAATCAATATTGCAACCCCACATGAATTTGGATTACCATGTGAGAAAAATGCTTTACCACCCCATTTATTTGCCCATTGTTTTTTCTGAATCCCCTTTTGAATGCGTTTCTTGCAGCAATATTACGTCAGCTTTTCTTTTACGGCACCAAGTGAACATAGTTAATATTCTTTTATGAAAATTACTTATGGCCCTTACGTTCAAAGAAACTAATTTAAATGAATCTGCCATTCAAGCTGTTTTTGTAAAAATACATATATTGTTTGAGATTAGTACTTTCCGAAGTTTAACAAAGCATTCAAAGAGAGTGAAACAAAAGACATTTTCTCCTCCAACTGAGAAAATAGTAAAACAATCAGAACACATAGTACATTTACATATAAGCTTACATTAAACAAACTTCTTATTATAACATCTAGTGGACGTGGATTCACTGTTCAGTTTGAAACCGATCATGGAATCAATGCATTAATAATTTTTTGCCATCTTACAATAAAAGGGAAGGTCTTTAGTTTCTTTTCCTCTGTATATTTGTCCATTGATAATCAATTTATCAAAATTAAAGAAGGCTTTTTGCTTATCCTGCTTGGCCTTTTTAAGCACTGGATAAAGTTTTCTATGAATTTCTTCAATTTCTTTCGTGAAGTCATCTGAGAAACCGATGTTGGTTCCTTTTAAGTTCTTATAGAAGGAGCGAACCTATTCCTTGTCCTGATAATGACTGAAATGAGCGATAATTGGTTTAGGATAGGAGGGAGCTCTTAGACTAGAATTATTAGTGGAGATTATTATGGAACACTTCCAAAATCCACAAATTTCTTGGTGATGATACTAAGTGTAACTTCCTGCTCTATGGACAACCTAAATCTTCCCAATGAATTCTGAATTTTCTGCCTATTATATGGCCTTAAGACATTTCTTTTTGAGCAAGCCTACAGCTACTAGCTTTAAATCTTGTCATTTACTAGTTATTACAACTGCTGCCACATATTCCTTGTCTGCAATGTGACAACCTCTTTTTGAAACCTGATTCCTTGTAAGTTTGTCATTTTGGAAGCGTCTGCTTAAAGTTTTCTTGTGTTTCGGACGTTTACGTTTGGAACATTAAACTCACTGAATTCATTCGGACCTACTTGAACTTCATTGTAAATTGCACTTAACACAGTTGATTTGGATCTGGATCTATTTGCAAAGTGGAGTGTTTTTTTATGGAATGAAGATATAGAGGATATTACATGGCCGCGCGGGGATACGAATTTTATCTTCAAGCGCTGAAAGTATCTCTCAAGAGTAAGCGAAGCGAACGAGTGAGAGATACTTTCAGCACGAGAAGATAAAATTCATATCCCCAAGCGGCCATGTAATGTTCTTTTTATTTTACAGATACTGATGAAATTCCTACATAAAACATAACTTTTTTTTAATCATTTTCGAAACAGCAAAATAGTGCAATTAAAGTGGTCACCTATTGCAAAATGCCTGTCACAAAAATGTTATGAAACTCGGATATATAAGTTATAAGTTATAAAGGAGAAATAAAGACAATGATACTTATATTTTCTGTTCGAAAAAGTCAAAATTCTAATGAAGTAGAGAAAACTTCTGTAACAGCAAAAGCGTATCTTAAACTCAGTTATTGCATCATGTTGTGGATTCTTGGCTACTGTCACTTTCAATAATGAGTCGCCGCTTCTTACGCTTCGGGTCAACTTCTTGACTCTTTACTTCATTTTTTTGTGGGAGCTAAGTTAATGTTAAAGACGCCTCCAGTTACGTAATTTCCGTGAAACATCGTTTGGAGCCTATTCTCATTGAAGGAATTCACATCCAAGATAGATGAAGGGGTAGACGTTGAGGCGATTCGATACTTAGCCAGGGGTTGCGCTGTCAAGTTGTTTTCGGTCTGTGGAACGTTGGTAGCAGCTTTGGTTGTTGAGGAAAGAATATGTGAAATACTTTCCATTTGCTTTTCTCGACGAGAACTGTAATTTTTAACTGACTGCAAGTTTTTATGCCCCGTTATTTGAATTATCTGGTTAGGAGGAAGTCTCCACTGTCCTGCAGTTTTTGCACTAAAGTTTTTCTACGACTGTTGCTTGTTTTGCCTGAAATTCCTGCCGCTTGTGTCATGTCTTTCATGATATTGTTTAACTTGTTCACTCTCGTTGGTTCTGCTTTGAACCAGTTTTTGCCTTCCACTGATGCATGAGTTTCTGTTTTAAAGTAATTTACAGACAAATGGAAACTTGAATCCGGTTCTAGCATGGATGGTGGTCGTTTTTCTTTGTACATCTTGTAAACGTGCACCGGATCACGATCAATAGAAATGGCATCGTCGTTGGTATACATTCGCGGCTTGATCGGCGGTTGATTCCGTGGATCCTCTCTCGTTCGAGTCTTTGTTTCGCCTTCAAAGTATTCGAGATATTCTTTACCGTCACTGTCAGTTTTTAAAACGATGTCCCTCAGCGGAGTTCTTTTTGTTCCTTACATTCGCGAAGGCCAAAGTGAATCATGTTGTTTAGCCACACAGTATTTAACAGAGCTTGCGGTGAACTTAATCCAAGCAACGTTTTGTTAAAAAGAATCTCAATTTCGTCGTCCGTAAGAGTCGTTGTGGCTTTTGGCCTGTTTCCTAGTCCATATCGCTTGAGTTGCTTTTGTTTAGCTTTCAACGTCTCTTGTTTTTTTGAAATCACTGTCTTTGAAGATAGTTTTGCCATTACTGGAGCGACTCAAATGGCGTTCAACACTAGCCAAAATTCCGCGGAGAGATGACGGTTCATAATATTTCCCAGTCTTTTTCCTTGCAGCTAAAACAAACTGGCTCAAGTAGCTGTCTAATTCAGTTGGAGGAATCTTCTCTATTTCTCTGATTTCGTGGCGCTCTTCTACCGGAAACTTTTTGACTAATTTTAAGTCGTAGAAGGTCTTTTTTTAGTGTTGCATTTTCTTTCCCCTCAGTGAATTTTTCAACATCACTTTCGGAGACTTCGGCAAATCTTCCTGAATGTTCTTCAAGCTCGGAAAAAGTATCGATGTGAAAATTTGGCAGCTCATCGAGGAAGTCACCGGTAACTGTACCGTCTTCGCACCTCGAAGACATTTTGTGAATGAAATTTCAAAAGAACCGGCCGTGCGCCTGAGTGGGAAGCTCTCTTGTAATTGGCTAATCATGTTAGTAACCGTGGCGACACCAATATCCTCACACGTGAGAGATAAAAAATAGTATCTTCACTGCGCGCGATGAAGATATGATATATTAGTAAAAGGAAAAATCCAGGTATTTCATCAGTATCTATAAAATAAACAGTTTTTACACGCGGGGTCCGAGTCTTCGACTTATCTTCGCAACACTAGTTTAGGTTTGTTCATATATTTTGTAAAATGCCATTGATCCATACAGGATTTGGTGCTGTATAAATTATTTATTATTATTATTATTTGTAGTTACAATTATTTACTTGTTGTGACTTTCTTTTTCTACAAGATTGTGGCTTGCATTCCCGATTCCGTTCAAGAGGACAACTTCCAGTGGCTAAGTGACTGCTCCATTGAAAGCATCACGAGGTTTTTTGTAGACAATGATGTGAGGAACTATTGTATTTTGGTAAGCATATTCTTTTAACTCTCAAAGTAAATAGACGCTTAAATAGAAGGTTATTTATTCTGTCCATCTCTCTATATTTCCTTTAATATTTAAGGCCATAGAAACTGAGAAAAGTTCATCAATAGTCCAGTTTCGAGTTCGCGATGACCGCTGAATCAAAGAAGTGAAGACGCCTTTTTTACAGGCTTAGCGTCCATCTGAAGTAATATATTCACAAATTCCAATGAGAAAAAGACCTGCCTATTACTCTGTCTATTGTGTTATTTCATACACCTACTTGCCAGAATTTCTGAATATTTTACTTTATGTCGATGCTAACCCTGTATGAATGTGTCGTTAATGTTTGTATTCAGCGGTCATTTTTAATTCGAAAGTGGACTATTCTCAACTCCAAAAATTTTTCAGTAAACACTGCACAGCGACTCGGGCCATCATTAGAATTTTCCAGTGATATAATGTAGTCATGGGAAGGGATTTCGATTTGAGGCTTGAGGTTGTGTGCTTGTCTTTTCTTCATTGTCATTTTACTAAAACAAGGCTTCCACTAAAAACCATTAAAAAGCCAGAAACAGATAAACAGGCATGGTCGCAGTTTGAAGATTTTTGGCGGAAAAATAGTTATTCGAGATGCCAGTTTCCCTTGTAAAAAAAAATTACAACTCGAATAAGGTAATTGCTCTGAAGAAAAGCTTCCACAACGCGAGAAAAAGGGAGAAAAAGGCTTTCAGAAAAAAGGAACCAGTCTTAAAATATCCTGTAGTCATCTCAAACATTCAGTGTAACCAGCTTTCTTACTACCTGGGCAGCGCCCAAGTAAAGTTTTCGGTAGCACCAGGTTGGCTTCAAGGTTGCAATAGGTCTGTGAGCAAGATTCTGCTTGCAACACCAGATGCAGAGGTTTATATGCGGTTGTCGCTTGATCATAGATATATTTTAGTTATTGTTTAGAAGACAACAAATGCCCTTTACATTGAGAAACTTGGCTCTTGAGGAGGCATTTTCTGATTTAAGTTTGTATTGTCGCCTAGTTAATGGTACGCGAAGCGCGCGTGGGACAGAGCCCCATACTCATAGATTATGGTCAACCTCTTTTCGTTTGGTTGTCACGTGATTGACCGAGCGTACGTACGCGTCTAGGGATTGTACGGGTGGGGTAGGGGAGACTATCAAAAGGAAGGGAGGGGTGTCTCAGGCGTGTCTTGCCAAGTCCACATCTTTTACATTGGACATTCACAATATGGTCAATTGACGGCTGTCAAAACAGGATAGCCACTGACTAGTATCCCATGACCGTATTGCGGGCTCATGTGTCAACTCATTGAGGTGACGTGGTTTATTTGGAAGCTGTCCGCTGACCAGTTAATTATTTTACTAGATCGCGATCAATGTTCAGTCTCATACTTTCTAGCTAGTTTGGGTTCGGAGCACAGGAAAACTGATACACATATTGAACATCAATGTTGTGATCAATTGACAGCTGTCAAAACAAGGTATCTGCTGACCAGTCACTCGGGCTCAGGTGTCGACCCATCGAGGTCAAGTATTTTTTGAAGTTATCCGCTGACAAGGTACTGTTTTTCAAATGATCGCAGGCTCAAGTTTATTTTTTTTAAAATTCACATGAAATATGTTGTGTTTATGTGCCGCACAATTAAAATTTTGATTTCAAACTGACCTCAGACGCGAAAATTCAGCCAGCTCTTACAGGCAGGGAAGACAGTTGCTTTTGACTTTTTCTCGCCATGTTCACGCGTTGGTCACGCTCTACGTCCAATTTTTATGCTCTGATTGGTCAAAATTTGACAGGTGAGTTCATGCGGAAAATTTATGCAGCATCTTGAATCTTGTTTACTTTGACAGCTGAAGCTGACAGAGTTTTGTGTCAACTTGTGATGTTTTTATCTTTCTTTTTCCACTGGATGTACAAAATGAAATTCAGCTGCTATCAGTCTTCTCTTATTCATGGCTAGTTTGTTTATGTGGTTTTTGGTTGAGTCAAAGTCGGAAATCCGATTTCGCATGGCATCGTTTTCGCTTTCACCTTGCTTAATGCGTAAGAGGGTTGCAAAGTCTGAAGCGATACTGGCCTTACTTGACACCTTTCAGGAGCTGCATCTCGAGTGGTAAGCCTAAGTAATTATTGTATTTGACGTTTGTTTTTTATTCCTAATTTAATGAAGTCGAGCGTAGTTTATGCGGCGATTTTGTTTACGCACGTTTGATCTGAGAAATGACTGAGTATAAGGTTTGTTATAAGCTTACAGATCTTTAAAAAGCCTTTAGACATTTTCTCACCCCAAATAGAAAGAAAACGTTTCAAGGAATATTTAGTTATAATTCTGGCTGTAAAAGAAAGGTTTGAGCGATTTCCTTGCCTCGAGTTCGTCGTTGAAAAAAGCAAACACCGGAAAGCCGGCTTAAAACATAAACTTCAGCTTTAAGCTCGAAGACTCAGGATTTTTAGAGACACTTTAATACTTGTCTTCCTGAATGAAAATTGTCGTCTTTGTATATGTTTCACCGAATTATATTTCTTTTATTGATTGTTAGTACTGTCTCTTGTAATTTTAATCGCTGTGCCGGTTGTTTTCAGTCGTTCAGTGAACAACGCTTCCCGGAGTACTCAAAATGCCGCGCGTTAAATCGTTTTAAAATAAAAAAATAAACATAATAAATTCTTTATTATGTTGGAGCGTAACTGTGTCAATGTTCATTCAAACACTCGCCACTGCTAGCACTGCAAAAGTCAGAACCGGCTGCCCGTATAGATGATTTTTTTTTTTTAACGGTTTACGGCTAAAGCCCACGCGTGCTTCGATCGTCCTGAATATTGAATGATAGCAATTTGTATCGCAATATTGTGAAATACTGCATTCTGTTGTCCGAGGTCTTTATGATAAAAACAGTGCCTCATGGTACTGTTTCACCTCAGATGTGATGTATAAGTGATATAAAAGCTTGGTTTACACGAACCCAGATTTGTTGGCAAGATTTTGTAAAGTAAACTTGTCGAACGCCAAAAAAATTCGGCCGGAATTTTTTTTCCAGGCCTAATTAATCTACGGTGATCAAGAGCCATTATGGCTCTTGATATAAATGCGATCGAAGATGATTGCCAGTTTTTGGGTGTACTTATGAGGCTATCAACTCGATGGGAGATTTGGTTCACTCTTGAGCTGTTTGCATATTATTTTTTGTAAAATCACTTAGCCTTTCCCTGAAAAGTCACACGAATGTGCTCTAAAGTTAACTGAATTGTGGAATACAAGTTTATTGTTTGATTTAAATTATAAATTTATTAATGGGAGCCTCGCTTTTAGCCCTGACTAAATCTATATATGTACAGTACCGCAAATGATCCCCAACCGCAAATGATCCCGAGACCACAAATGATCCCCAAAATGGACCGCAAATGATCCTCGACCGCAAGTGATCCCTAAAGTCGACCGCAAATGATCCCGTGAAAACTTGAGGAATGGAATGGATTTTTATGGGACTGATTACAAAAAAGGACTGATTATAAAAAAGAAACCTTTTTCTCTCGCCTTTTAAAGAAAAAGGGAAGGAGGACGCTACATCTCAGGTCAATTTATACCAGGCGAAAAAAAAATGGAATAAATCTGAAAAGGAATGGTATTAACCGTATACTTCTTCCTTTGTCGATTGCTTCAATTTTCTTTCAAGAATGTTTCGTCTTTTGAAAAATTTAAGACAGGCAGGACCTTACGCAGAAAAAGCTCTATTATTTTAACGCCTAGAAGCTCAACTCTTCTACTGAGGAATACAAAGCCGGGCACCCTCTACATAACAAGAGCTTTACTGACTTTACCGATCTTTTTGAAAGCGTGAAATTAATCAGCCAGAATATTTCATTTGATTTTTCTCTGAAGTGTTAATTTTACGTGGTAAACAGCAAGACATTTGTTCGTAACTTAGGTGCCGGTTACGAAACAAGACATGATTTTAAAACATAAACACAAGTCAAAATGTCCCCGAACTTATCAATGTCCACAGGTTTCGGTTTATTTCGAAATAGCAACTTTCTTACACGTCATGAACGTGTTGTGAATAGTTATATTAGCGTTTTTATGTATATTCATTTGTTGTGCTTTGCCGAAGACAGTTACAACCTGGTAATGACAAACGCCAGGTAAGCGGTCTACAGTTATTGCGTGACAAAACATCGTAGGAAACCGTCACATTCACGGACTAAAAGAAAATCGCTTATGATCATTCGGATTCAGGAGGCACTTTGGAGAAAATTAAACAACCTAAAACCCTTATTTAGCGGCAATGAAGAGCACTGCATTTCAAAAGAGGTCAAAGGAAATGCTCTTGCATCAAAGGGCAAATCATGCCGACCAGAAACAACAATAACCACAGAAAATGCGTGTCATGACCTCTCAGTATGAAATAAGCGGCAAAAATCACATTTGTTCAGTCAAAACGTTTTCTTCAGAGGTATAATCTACCCGCCAGAGCCAGAAAAAAGTCAT